TAGAACTCAAACTATCTGATTCGGAAAATGTCGAAATTGTCGGGGGCTTTGCCCCCCTAAGTATAACTCACACTATCTCGTTTGCAAATATCGACATTGAACTCACACTACCTGATTCGAAATTGTCTGGGTCTGGGTCGCCCCCGAGTAGAACTCACAATACCTGATCCGCAAATGTTTTGTCGGACCTCTCCTCCGTGTAAACTACACACTATTGGATTCGCAAATGTTTTTTAGAAATTCTGGGGGCTTACACTATCGGATTCGCAAATCCATTTAAAACTGTACTTTGTAAGAATATGTGTTGGCATGTAATGAATGTAATGAAACGTGTAATGTTTTCAAACTTCCTTAACATCAATTTTTAGATCTTCCGTTAATAGACCTGAATATACAGGGTGAATATAAGTATGGAAACAAGCGGTTTTATTTTTAATCATTTGCTTCCAGAAAACAATAATTAATATAAATTAAAGTAAAATAAAAAATGTGATCGTATTTTCAGAACGAAATTTTGTTTTGTTTTTGAGTTATGCGATATTTTTTTTGTCAAAATTGCAATTTATGTGAAAAAATTTAATATAAAGCAGATAGTTGTAATCCTTAGAGTATAGCTTTTATGAGAAAAATGATTTTATAGTGGGTTACCATTTAATTTTTTTTTTTTTGTAGAACTCAAAAACAAAAAGAAATTTCGAAAAATTCTATTCTTGTTAAATCATCACATTTTTATACTACTTTATCACTTATCAATTAGTTTTTTCAAAAAATAAATAGTTTAAGCAAAAAACGTTTGGTTCCATACTTTTTATTCACCTGGTATATTTTCATACGTCCCACGCATTACCTTTTCGTACTTTTAAATCATTTTTATCACCGTCTTTTCGACATTTGACTTTTCCGAGAGACACAAATGTGGAATTTTCTTTGTTGCCAGATTTCGCAAACGTGTGATTTATTTATATTTATTTATTTCATCAAAACATCGGAAATAATTTTTAAACCTCAATTAAAAGTTTATGATTGATTACCTACTTCTGTAAATTTGGGAAATCTCTACCTTTTGCCGTTTTCTACTTTTAGTGCTTCCAAATTTTCCAACAAGAAAAAAACAATTCTTGTTGTGCGACAAAGATTGTTAAATAACTTTTACATGGATGTAAGAGGGTTCAAGCTATCACGTTTTAGTAAATACAACTAGCTGATGTGGTCAAATCCTATCGGATTTGATGAAGGGTTTCATTTTTATTTAGTAAAGTGTATTTTAGATTTAAAAAAATAATGTTTGGGTCAGTTCGAGTAGTTTCAGGTGGGTTCAGGTCACTTTAGGCCACTTCGGGTTACTTCGGATTACTTTGGCTTGAAGTAAAAAGAAAGTGTTAAATGTACTGACTTTTGATTTTCAAAAGAAGAAAAATTCTTAAGGAAATGTTTAAATTTAGTTGTAAAAATGCCAATCGAGACGTTTCAAAACATCGGGTTACAAAAGACAGTTGGGGAGACTAAGAAAGTGTCAGATGTACTGGATTAAAAAATTTCTAGACTTACAAAAAACATTTAAAAATCTCTTAAAGGAATGCTTAAATTAAAAAAATGTCATTCGAGACATTTCAAAACATCGTGCTACAAAAGACAGTTGGGGAGACTAAGAAAGTGTCAGATGTACTGGATTAAAAAATTTCTAGACTTGCAAAAAAACATTTAAAAATCTCTTAAAGAAATGCTT